TACTAGTAATCGTGTCGATGAAATCGTATTGTGATTGGACGTTGGGTTTTTGGTATAATTTATAGTAAACAAGTTTCAACCGAGTATACCAATAATTGACTACAGCTCAACGTTTAAACCAATATGGTTAGCAGTTGTAACCGTATAGATACCACGAAACGACACACGACTTAACTGTAAATCTGTCAATAGTTATTATATATGTGATGATCGCCGCCCTGCACTGATCATTGACATTTGTATTATAATTTCTTTGTATTTTATACATTAGTTCTTTACAATAGTTAAGCTGTAGCGCCATTTGGAATTGTGAAGAGCATCGTCGTACAAACTGACGACGAATAATACCTTTAACAGTTAACACGTACTATAGTAACTTTTAGCTTTCAAACTCCCAACTATATTCTATATCATAAAATGTATAAAAACAAAAATAAAAACACTGTCCAAATGTTATGATAATCATAACACACATTATAATATTAATTATTATATTATGAAACCTGCAGTGTTGTCCAAAAACCACTATAGTTTATTATAAACAATATGCATATATATAATATTTTAAAATATTGTTAAATAATTTCGATAAATATTCTTTTAGTGAAATTTTCATTATACTAAAGGATTAAGTATTAGATATTCATGACGTTAAAATGCTTACAATATTTGGCCGTGGAAACGAATAGGTAGTGCTTTCAGTTAGCATGTTATAAAATAATAATAATTGTGTTCAGCTAGGTATATAATAATATTATTATAAAATGCCGGAAAAAAGGTGAGCTTGACACCAATAGAAAACTCTATAATAACAGATATTAACCCTGTTAACCATTATTTGTAATGAAAACAAACTTGGGTTAAAAACGTCAACTTTAAAATTACATCGAGTTTTCATGTTACTATTATTATTATTATTATTATTATTATTGTTACTATTACTATTATTATTATTATAACCATTATTACGATTATTAATTTATTAATGTTATTGTTTTTGTTGTTGTTATTGTAAGTATATTATATTATATTATTGTAAAAACGCATAATATAATGAATATTAGATTAAAATAGGTGCCGAAATAACATTGTTCGTGACGACGTAGTACGTTGTATCGTGACTTCCAGTTTACTTCATTTCGTAATTGAAATGTTAGTTTATCATTGCAGTGAATCGAAATGTGCCTAGGTATATTATGTATATTGGAAATCAGTTAAGTTTAAGGTCAAAGTGTGGTACGTTTGTGAGAAAGTTGATCAAAGTTTCATAGTTGAATGCGATATATTTTATGTAGTGTGCACACAATTACAGGCTATTTAGTTTCAAAACTTCGCCACTGAAAGATGCAGTTTTCTCTCTAAAAGGCATTCGGTTTTGATCACTGATTACAATTTTTTGACAATATCATGATATAACATTTAGACACGCCTAGAATCCGTCATCAGTGCAATTGTATTAATCACAAAATAATGTAATTAAATATTATCGATGGTACATTATCGTATTAAATCATATTTTAATTTCACCTAGAAACTAGTGAAACACGGTTTACACTTAAAAAAAAAATTAAGAAAAACGTAAACTATGCAGATATATTGTAGTATACATATTTTTGTATACTGTACCTATTTCTAACGAATTTTTTTCCTCACATTGTTCTAAATTCCTTTTGTTTATTTTTTTAGATCATTTCGGACTAATATTTTAGTCTACGTTCGGTGTGGGTTCTTAATGAAATATGAATATAGGCGTATCGCGTCATTTGGTTCCAATCCCTGGTTTAGACTGACGTCTTATTTTTTTATATTTAATAAGGTGGAAATATTATAGCTAACAAATATATTATAAATGTTTAACAACATTTTAAATTGGGGTAAACATTTAAAAATACACTTTGTCATCCCCCCCTTGATTGAATTCCTAGCTAGTATGCTCTTGCCTAGAGTACCACACACAATTTAGGTAAGTATACTCTCGACTAGGACTCGCATCATGCGTGGGGTACATTCTCTATCGGCGTTTCGACGAATCTCTATTTCTCATTTGACAAAATTTCAAACACGCTCTCGAAAATTGAAATCTTTTCCGAAGAGGACGGTAGATTCACGGATTCTTTTCTTTTTTGTAAATAAAAAAATTACAATATTGTTCATATTATTATTACGCGGAGCATAAGACTGCGGCAAAGGTCCATGCACCACATACCTATAGGTATTCCGCATATACGCTTAATGTTATGTTATTATGATTATTACAATATGTCTGTGGGCTGAAGAGACTCGGTGCTGGCGACGATACAACAAAGCGATTGTTGGATTTCTGGTGCTCCGTCGACGACTACAATATCAGCAAATATTCGAATGCCAGCGACGTATCGGCCACCCTTCGTATATATAGTACCTATAACAATAATGATAATAATATATTATAAATAAATAGGTTACCTACAAACGTATAGCGGTCGCGTACACGAGAAAATAGGAAATAAATGCATTCGCGGTCCATTAAACCCGCGGCAAGACGAGTGCACGAAAGTTTTTTTGAATGAATATATACCGACCTGAATTATTATTCTTCGACGAGGGCTATTGTAACGACGATGACGACGTATTATATGTACGTGGAGAGATGCATTAAAGCAGTGCATTGATTTGCATCACAATAGAAACAAATTTTGCGTGCGGACGTACAACGACTATATTAAAATATATATATATATACGACCACATGTGTGCCGCCCACCGTAATATATAATATTAAACATGTAATAATATATTGTCTACAATAAAAATATACGTTTTATTTGGAATCTGATTAGCGGGACACTATAAAAAAAATACACAGAAATGATTATTATAAATTATTTATTCAGCGACGATATCCAAATAGAAATGTCATAACTAATTATAATATACCTACCTAGATAACAATGCTTACAAATATAATATATTGTGTGTGTTGCTATAAGGTATAAGACTATCTACGTACGATACTTTTTAAAATCCACAAGTTGGATTAAATGACGAAAAATCAAAATATAAAACCCTGGCGGCTGGCGTTCATAGAAATTAAAAAATTATCAAGAAAAATAGAAACAATTAGAAATGCAAATATTAAGAATGTAAAAATACATTGAGGGTCAATGCCGTGAGCATTAAAAAATTTGTATTGTCTCAGTTCCAATTTTTGCTCTACAGATATGCTCTATAGTTAATTGTATATAGCATCAATTTGGGGATATCGTGCAAAAAAAAAAATAAACTTAACTTATGGAATCGTATTATGAAAAAGGTACCGCCGATAAGCACAATGTTTATAAGCAATCCTACCTAATCTTTGTGCGCATCGTGTAGTGTTTGATTATCAGCAAAACATTAGATAACGGAATACACAGGAGTCGTAGAGGTAAAAATATTACGACACTTAATATTCCGACCAAATCATTTAAATCAATCTGTCACGAAAGTCCAATAGATGAGTGGTTCTCCTCTTCAGAGCCCCCGGACACGACAATCGATTTTAAAATACAATGTCATTATCATGTTATTTATAGTACCTATCTTAAAAGTTATATTCTTATCTAATGCCTCAGTAATGCCTAGACTGCTGAAGCTCGAGTAAGAATAATACGAATGAAAAATAATGCTTGATCAATGCGGTCGATGGGTGGTGTGTAAAGTTTGTTTGCCGACCTTTTAAATTAATAATGCCCGAAGCTCTTTCCGGGATTATGGCCACACCAAGCTGCAGGCAGATTTCCGCATTTCCCAGTAGTGTTTAAAGGAAACCGAGGAAAACCCCAGCCGAGAGTTATTATTGAAAACAACAGAGCAGCTATCAGGTCCAACCACCTCACGATTTAGGACAAGATCGAGTTCAATACCTATAGATACTAATATCGTTCGGACCTACAACTATAACCTTGGTTGAGCTGTGGGATTTTTAATTGGAATAGGTTGATTCTTATGCATAGTATTGAGTGTAGGACTGCAGTACTCAATATTGACACTGAAAACCAGCGTATGACGATGGAGGAAATTAAATAAATATTATTGTGCTTCCGTCACTCGTGACGACACCGAACTCGCTATTTTAACGGTTCAGCGAAATCATGAGTGTTAGAATCGCTAAAATGTTTATGCGGTGGAAATCTTTCTCCGTGGTATACTGGTTTATCGTTCAATGACAGCGATCGTCTATAGGTTAGGTACCCATATATAGAGTACCCGAGCAATCCCGGTTTAATGGCCTATTCTCGGCATCATAGGTACTGTATTCCCTCGAATGTCATTACAAACGGTTTATACCCGACGACCGTACCGACCGTGCGTATGGCAATACTCCTATGTATATTATTATTCCTTAGTGACCCGAAACGTATATTTTCCCAAGTCACCCATACGGGACGGGGTAATCGAATTGAAAAATCACTGGAGTTTGGCGCCACTGACACTATTTATATATATATTTTATAAACTTATATTCAGTACGATCGACGATGGATAATGTGCTCTGCGTAGTGCATAATATACATATATATATATATATATATATATATATATGTGCGTGCTCGTTTACTGTACGACGGTTGGCGGAAAGCTGGCTGGTGCCGAGACGGTATAATATTTAATATTATATAATACGCATTTTTTGTGGTGTTATTATTATTACTAGTCGGTGGCGGTGGTGGCGAAGACGACGACGACGACGACAATGTCTAAACGACGGCCCCGGGAAAATTGAAAATAAATAAAATCAACCTGCAGTGAACGCAGAACGGCTGCATCCACCGCCGCGACCGCCCCTAACCGGATGGCGAGCGCCCTCCACGTCCTTAGACTTACCCCTCCTCCGAAGAACAGCTAACCTCGGGGAAGTGCGATAGGGTTGAGCACAGGTACGACAGAGAAATCGAGAAAATTCTACTGCAGAGTACCGCACTACACTCGATTACATCGTCATCGTCGTCTATTAAGTCATCGTGTTCCAATTTGTTCATATGCAGCTACGAACTGCGCGGGGCTGGGGATTGTTGTCTGAGAGATGTGGAAGAAACCCACAAAATACTCCGAATGTCGAGGCGGTGGGCGTTATACGATTTTCTCCACCACACGTGGATATTATAATATGGCCAATAACTCGTCCTAGCCAAGCTTCGATCCAGCATCTAAATATCCCGTGGACGAGGGAGGTCTGCGTCGAAACTGACAATAGGTGGATGAGGGAGGTCTGCACCGAAACTGACGAGAGGTCGATGGTGGATGGCCGATGGTTCGACGGCTATATTATACCCATCACAATGACTTCCAAAATATTTGAAATTATGAATGACATTATATGTTTTATTTCCAAGCGACCGGTGAAAAACTATAGATTTATATTAACTGTACAATCGTTGGCACGACGATAGTTTATCACGTCGCAATACGTGTGCCCTAGTCGTGGACACAATGATACAATTATATGATGTATAAATGTATATTATTTAAAATGTTTACCGGCTGCAGTGTTGCATTTTATCGTGAGTGGAAACAATAATAAAATATCACAATGCATAAGATATATTCTTTCACGACGAGTTTCCTGCAATATTTTCAGCAGGAAAAGATCACACTTGTTCCGACTATTTTAACACGGATGTACGCGATATCTGCAGGCGCAGAGTATTCGAAAAGCGGAAAGCTTGATCGAGCTTGAGCAGCTACGGTATTAGCTGGTGAACTTTTGGTCGACACTCAATAAACTTAACATTCTTGAACACACAACAGATTATGTGAAGTCAATAGTACCTAAGTATATGTAATACACTGCACTATAACATTATTATCATTTACCGGGTAAGGTACCTCTATACACAGAATATATATATTTATTATTAAAATCGTCAAACGATTGATATTTTACATCAACTGTTAGAGGAGCAATACAATATCGGAGTGACGATCAATCAATCCGCCAAATACGTTTCAACTCGGTAACTGTTGTGAAGAACATTATGTCTGTTGATCGACAACCATTGACGGAGCGTGGCACATATTTTGACGACACTCGATGAATAAAAGAGCGAGATGTCATTATGATAAAGATAATCGTCGAACAAGTATTATAGCTGCTCACGGTTATGTACCTATAACTACAGCCACGGGAAGGCAATCCTTACAACGTAGAGATATAATTATTATTATTATTCGGATTTCTGGTCGTTGTGTACTAACTGAAACCGACCAGGGTGTAAAATTAATAATATTATGGTTTCGTAAAAATATCTTTTCCGGAATAATATTTGAACGTAAACGCGTAGAGTCACCTTACATAATAAATTATATTCGAAAATCGATTATTGTTAATGTAATCATAAAACGCATTTTCATTCGACCCCGGCGTCACAAATACGTTATAATTTTGCGTAGACCCGCTGAAGTTTTTGCTGAAAGTTTAACAACCACCGACTTCCACAGGCGTTTTGTTCATTGTCTTACTTTGAAACAAAATACGATGGATGGTTAAAACGTAAAAGTTTTTGAAATTAATTTTTTCCAAACAAAGGCACACAATAATAATTGTACTTAAGTAATTGAATTAATATTTCGCACTAAAAACGGCTAGAAGTGTATTTGAAAATAATTATAAAATACTTATATAATAATTTTATAACGTCATTGTTATATTGTACTGTATTAAGTATAACAATACATTGTTATGAAAATGATTGTGAAAAAAAAATCGCTACTCATCGGTACAGGGCAATAAACGCAGGCGAGATTCGATAGTTTTGCACAAAATCGTTACATATTGAACGGTGTTTAGTATAATCTCTGACAATAATATGCAGTTATGGCAGCTTAAATAACATATTATTTTTATATTAATATATATTATAATGATAATTATAAGCCTACTGATTTAACTTGAGTTGTCCACAGAATGCGAGTAACTAGAAATTATTTTTAAAGACTAAACGTATAGATAGGTTATACCTATACATTATTATTATTATTATTGTTGTTTCCTCTCGAAACACTTTGCCGTCGTCGGTAAATGAACGGTTATTTTCGAATGTTAAACAGCAGTATTTTAAATATCAGTTTTATCCCGCTGCAGCTGTATAATAATAATATTATACAAAGTATACTTTCCAGCAGTATTTCACCTTAAATGGGTACCTAATATTATTTACTCCGCAAATAACTCGAATAAATGTCGTCCGGATTGATTGGAAATTTATATATTTTGAGAACCGAATCGATACGCATTTATCACATTCAAATATTTGAATAGTTAATACACCGAACTCGTCGTATTACCCACTATGATATGAATAAATGGCTTTAGTTTATGTCGACGGGAGTTTATTACGAGTTAATTCGATTTCCGTGTCGACGCGAACTTCAGTGCTTATTATAAGAATCTATAGTACCTATACATAGTACCTACACATATATTGTATTATATAAGTAAAGATAAACATAATATTAAATGAAAAAAAAACCATCCTATTCCGTTCATTACAACACATTTTTATCACATTCAATTATTCGACGGCATTTTTCGTTTTTATTTTGTTTTTTAATTGATCGAATTAATTATTATTATCTGTTAGTGTTTTTTTTTTTGTCACCGTTTAGATTTAATTTTCTCCGGGATTTCAACGATCCGCGTATTAATTCGGTTATGTCTTACAAAATAATATTATGTCAGACAGGGAACACGCCTTTTTTTGATTCGTTTTTCGTCTTCCGTTCGTATATCTGTAGAATTTTTTTAAAAAAGACATAATAATATATAGGCACCAGTTTTCCTTCTCAAATTAGTCGAGGAAGAGGTATTATTATACATAATATAATACAACATAAAGTATACTCCGGTTTTTACCACTACACTGTAATAAGTACCGTAGTAAAACCTCATAAATAATTTCGCTTAAATATATTATCGTTATGACAGCTTATTAAATTTGTCTCAGAATAAAATATAATTTCGTATACATTATTTACATATAAAACGGATCTCTTGCGCAGTTAAAAATATTGTAATACTTAACATTAAGAAACGTTCATTAACACTAATTGTGGCGTTTCGTTAAAAACTTTTTGAACGGTTCTTATTGAAAATTGTGGTTTGAAATGTATTACTGATCAAAGGACCATAATAATATCATAACCAATACTTTAAAGAACAGTTTATTTTATTTTGTAGTGATTTTTTTGTGACGATTTCTTCCATTTTCGTAACAATATAGTCAGGAAGATAGATGATAACAAATCCCATCACGGTCGAAATTAATAAATATAAATAACGCACGTTTAACGATATTTCGTTACAACATTTTTTTTTTTTTTAATCAAAATACTAAAACTTAAAAGCTTTGTCCGGTGAATTTTTACTAATAACTTTTCATTTTACTTATAACATTTACCCGATAAAATATAATACGTTTTTGTTATAAAAAGGTAGGTATATATAAAGTGCGTTGCATTATTAGTCCCGTAACATGTACGCCGTGTACATCAAAGGCGGTAAAAAAAAAAAAGAAAAACATAGGTACTGCTGTTATATTGTATACGTATCGTAGGTAGGGACTATATATATATATATATATTTAAAAAAAAATGTTACCATGCCGCTAATAAGATGTCATAATTTCAGTACATGAGACCATTTTCGAGTATATTGTTTGTTGAATAACTATAACTATACTATACCTAGTATCTACACTATAACTAGTTTTTTTTTTTTTTTTTAATGAAACTCAAAAATAAACATTTTCCCAAGCTGCCGTCATAATCAGTACTTTAGTTTTATTTGTTTTCAACGTCCCTACGTCAGAGAGTGAATTCGGGTAGTCGGGTACGTCAATTATAAATATCATAAAATAGTTTTTTGAAATATAGGTCAGAAGTGAAAGATAAAATAAAACTTAATTTAGTTCGACGCTTAGGTATACATTATAATAATAAAGTTATATATTGCCGATGTTAAACCTCGTCATATTGTTGTGCACTTGTTCCTCGTGTCAAAAGTGATTACTGCGGTTATAATATATTTTTCGGTCGCAATTCGAACCTTTCGTTTTCCCGACTATACAATATTATAATATTAGACAAATTGAGTGTAAATAATATTATAATATTAAAGTATGTAACCGATTTTGAGTCGATCCGCCATACATAATTCATTAAGTCCGTGCGCCGGTTTCGATATAATATCATTATAATATAACGACTTTTTAATGAGACAATATATACACGCTGCCAGCTAAAAGAAATACATTTTTAATCAATCTGCTCAGCTGTAGACGACTCAAATTTCCCGTTGCGGTTTTTCTAACGGCAATATACCTACCGTATATCTATGGTATTATTAACATAAACATAGCGAGTTACCTATAATCATAAACCGGTCGGTATAGTTATCGTTCGTCGTGATACCGTTTCATCATACAGTAGTGAAATCATATTGGACATATTTTGCACGAAATATGCATTTGAATAGTGCACGATATTAGGTTTTTTTCAGACGTGCTTTTCTAGAATTATTTAAAATAAAATGAAAATTCGGACTTTGATCCCACCGGACAAAAACTCTCATCTTTCGGATAAAAAATAAATTGTCAAATTTCCACATGTAAATGAGGCATGGGGGTTTTTCCTGTGAACTGTGAAATGTATGTTGATATAATACACTGTATCCAATAACCTACCTCCTGACTAGGTATCGGGAAGTAGATTAGTGTAAACGTATTATGATTAGGGTAGCAACTAAAATATAAAATATAATTTTCAAATTTCAAATCTTATAGAATTATAGAAAATCATAAAAGAGCGCAGATTAGCTATCATTGTCCTATTTATGTTTTTAGATCTAAAACGGAAAAATAACAACATGTGATACGACATTTTGGGATATATTTCGTGATAAATTTAATTTTGTAAATATATTAATTATTTTAAAAACTTTTTATTAAGATAATATTTTTTACAATATGTATACACATAGGTATAGTTGTCTGTCAGACATCACTCACGAGAATCACTTTTTAAGAACATTATTGTTACCATTATGGTTTACATAATATTTGTTTTATTCGAGTGATTACTCCAAAATGATTTTCCGTCGCTCTGTGTCAACAACCGACAAATTATCGAAGTGAAGTTTCCTCAAAATACCTGTGGGCTGGGTGTTTGGGTCAAATCGTCTGCTGACCAAACATTTACGACAGCCAAAATATTTAATCATGATATACTCGCTTCCCTTGAGGCTCACACATTGATCGCCTGTAAAATATCGAACATCGGCGGTTTTCCAAGCGAGCAGGCCCAATCGTTGAGGTCGTTCAGTTACGATTAATTAAGTTTACTTTACATAATATTATATTGGGACACGGTGATTTAATAGACCTAGCTGTTGGTG